TTGGGTATTCAATCATGTTTAATAGACATAGGCAGTCCACATATGGACTGGTCATGCTATGTCTAAGTGCATGGCTATTGCCAAAATAGCTTCCATCTACACAGACCACAACAAAGGTATAAAAATTACTTACCAAGTGATCACCCATTGTATATAATTTGTCTGACATATTCATAAATCTTTATTTTTATACTTAAGTTTACACTACAAAAAGGATAAAAATGAGACAATAATTACATTTGAGCATAATAATGGTCATAATTATCCCCCATAGCCATGTGATAAAATCATAGCTACCTCCTTCATACCTTCCATGACAATTATAGTCACCTGCTTAACCAGGAAATAAAAGGAAATATGAGAAATGGCTAATTATTTAACTGTATGCACTCTTACCTACTTACCTATAATCTATTCATCACATATTATATGCAGTAAATACATCATTCTTGGTGTGTAAACTGATCAAGTATTTGGTTGACCTTGTTAAAACACAATAGGAATTGTTTATATATAGCAGTGATCAAACTTAAATTAATTACAAACAACAATAGGGACGGATTCGGAAGGAGCGGAGGACATATGATATGATAGCGTTTTTGACTTATTCAAATTTCAAAGTTAAAAAGACTCTGACAGAAATTTAGAGTGTAATTGGAAAAAACAATATTTTGAGAATTAAATGTTTTGTTTATATTACGGCTTTTATTACAGTATGACCGCGGTTTCTTGTTTCATATATACTGAAAATATAGAGAAAAATATCAAAATGCAATGCCTATATAAAAGTACTATAAAGTTTAAATGTGCGTGTGCATTTCTTCGTCGTGCACTATGAAAATGACTAAAATCAAAAGGTCGGGTTGTTTTAATGTTTTACAACTAACCTTACCTCAAAACAAGACACTTACCAAGTTATTTTCTTCAGTATTTTCCCCTCAATCTTCAGAAAAAAACCACAAAGTTTAAATGACATTTATTTTGCTGTAAAAGCCCGTTTGATTTCTTGCTCTCGTGATATTCGTCCGTTTTGCATCCCAGCGATTTCGAAACAACCAATAAAAACAAGTTTTCGTGTTGTTCAAATCATTATTTTACCGTCTATTTATAACAATGCTGTTCACGGTTGTTCGAACAACTAAAAACAACTTGTTCTTTCATCAATGTTGTTCACGCTTGTTCGAACAATATTGTTGACGCCTGATGAATGAACAACGCTGAACAACATTGTTCTGACAACATTTATCAAGCATGTTTCATCAACCTTGTCGACGCTTGTTCCATCATGTTGCAACAACCATTGTTCGTTCATCAAGCGTGAACAAGTTGTTGGAACAATGTTGTTAACAATTGTCGCTTGAACAACGTTGTTCAGCCATGATAACCTCATTGTTGCAACGTTGTTCAGCGAACAATGTTGCAACAACCTGATCAATTTTTACGCGTGTACACGGTTAAAAACGCACAGGTTGTTCCAAGCGTGAACAATGTTGTGCGGCCAACTATGAACAAGTTGTCAACGACGTTGTTCCAAGTTGTTACAGTTGAACAATGCAAGTCGTTGACGAGCCTCTGTTGGCGAGCCAATAAATTTCATAAAAACATCATTTGACATTGCATTGAGTGTTTTCCGCGTTTGATGTCATTAATAAGAAAGGTCCATTGCGTAGACGAAACAAGTACGTTGACTTGAACATTGAAATATGTGGACATGGATTATATAAACGAATACTGGACAAGGCAATGTTAAGCCCCATATTATTTATATGTATTTTAATATTAGTTTTGGTATTAAAAATGAAAAAGTCTTTCGACTATACTTTTTTATATAACACACGTTTTACATGCAGTGTAATATATGAACTTGGACTTTTTATTACAGTCTGTATTTCTATAGACACAGTGAGTTGTATATTACCCGCTAACCGATTCAGTTGTTTGGAATTGCTTCGTGCTGTAATATAATAGGCTATCTTTAAAAAAAGGAACGGGAAATCGGGAAACGGAGGAATGGGAAATATCAGGAAATGGGGGAATATCGGGAAATGGTGGAATATCGGGGAATACCGTATTTCCCTTGGGGGAATATTATAAAGACCAAAGTTTTTATCAATTTTTTACTGATGACGAGCCAAAAAGTCGATAATATAGTTATAATTATATGTTTTTGATAATAGTAACAAGGTTGAACGTACAAAAATGACATTGTTTTTTTTCAATTTTTTGTCATTGTTTTTAGTGAGGCGGATATGTGTAAAATTATTGGTCAGTTGTTCCCGTTGAGGTTAAAAGCATCAAACTTTTACAATTGATGTAGTTTTATTTGCTTAATAGATATTTGAAGTGGGGCCATCGCTATTTTGCTGCTAACTCCTGAAAACGGGTGATTAGTGATTATCTTCTATTAAATTCTATTATAGCCAAAAAATGTGAAATTTTGTATTCAATTACAACAAATATGACTTGACTTTTAGCGAGATAATGTGCCTAATTTACAGCAATAACCATTTGAAGAATAAAAAAACTGTTTAAACGTCTTTTATGTAGTTTTTTACAAGCTTTCTGATGTGCAAGTTATATTTGTCGCGATTGAATTCAAAATTTCACAAAACGTCTTCAGGTTTCGGGGGTGTTCCGTGTTTTACAAACTACCTCAAAAATTGTTTGTCCGCAAAAATTCTTCCGGACATAACATTTTTCCTTGATATTTCCCCAGATTTTATATTTAATTCGGCTATTCTAAACGGCCACACCGTACCCAATATAAGAGAATCGTTCCTGCAATTGAATAATGTAACGCCGATAACACCAGCAATCGTAGAAATAGAGCCGGAAACTGACTTACACGTAGCCGCCGCGTGACTTCGTGAGCCGAAGAAAGATTTCGGCAAGAGGTGTTTTGACTATATAGTGGTGCTGCACGTTGGAATAACCTATCTTATATGAGGCAAAAATTACGCCATCCCCAAGTGCCTTTAAAACTGACGATTATTAAACAAAGAATGCTTTGAAACTGGCTCATCAATTATCTTCTTGTTATGTATAACATACTGCTTGTATGTAGCTAAAGGTTGTCCTTTGCTGTCCTTTGCAAACCTTAAACTCTAAACTTTAAACTCTAAGCGTGCAAAGCATAATAAGAGCATCATTTAATCAGTTTAGAAATCATATATGGGGCCATTTCTTAGAGACATGGTAAATATCTCCTTGCGAGAACAATTCATTCACAAATATAGCTGCAATATTCAACTATACTAAGCTTGAAACATGTGCTCCCAATAAGCTTTGCGCACTTAGCAGTTAAGGTTTAAGCCAGTTATAGAGTTTAATATTTAGCAAATATAAAACATTTTCCGAGTTGATATACAGTTTTATAATATAGCACTTGTAAATTCTGAACGCTGATTGGCTAAGAGCCGTGTTGATATAACTCAATGTCAACACGGAAACGTCGGAAAATTTCTTTCTTTATATTTCTTTGTGCGGCTATATTATAAAACAAATATAAAACATTTTTTCCGTATTGATATATAGTTATATCAACACTCGTGGAAATTGGGAAAACTCGAAATTGTGTGAAAACACTCCGCCCTAATTGAAATAGCTATAAGGTTTGCAAAGGACAACCTTTTTTGAATTGGCTGTATATTGTTTATTATATATATATGTATTGTCTGCAATGATCACGCCCCTCGTGGAAACAAGCTTTTAGTAGTTGTTTAAATAATTAAGTTTGTTTGTTTGTTTGTTTGTATGTATGTATGTATGTATATATATATATATGATACACATCCATACATACAAACAAACTTTATTTAAACAACTACTATAAAAAGCTGGTTTTGTAAAGGAAAAAAATCTTAATATGCCAATTTAATATTAAGCATTTCAACTATCCGGTTTCAACTGTAAAATTTGTACATCTTTTTATAAGCTCCATCGTGGTGTATTTGACAAAGAATGCTGTACCTTCGTTGAAGTGCTGAATTTTATTATTTGAGACTCGATAAACATCAACATGCAATATTGCATCAGAACAACCTATTAAATATTCTCGGTTATTATACATTACTGAACAACCTATTACATAGTTTCTTGTAGAAATAAAGAATGGACAAATCCTGGTCTAGTGCATCTTAGATAAATAGATCTAATCTAGCAATCACGTAATTTACACAATAAATTAATATAAAAGATATATATCAATAAGATAAAAAAGTAATTATTGCATGTATATTAGTAATTCTTGTATATTAGTGGCGAGAATTCGCCTCCTCCTAAACGTAGTTCACGACAAGTCACATGCAATATCACAAATGTTATTAGAAAATTAGAGTTCAGATAATTATATTTAAACCAACAGTAACAAATAAATCAATGAATAAAATAGTAGAATGTTCTCCCTTGTGTTCCAGTTAACGTAATGTCCCCGGACCCCGGTACACTCCTTCTAGGTTTGCTAACTATATATTAATTAAACTACCGTAACTATAAGATATACTGAGATTAACCGTTTTCACAAAACTAGGGTGAAAACGGACTGGATTATATCTCAGGCAAACTTTTCTTACCTGCAAGTTTCATGGGCAGAGATGCAAACAAAATAACGAGAAGAAATATTCTTGTCATTGTGATTTGTGTTGTGGTGCGACTTAATTAACAGTCTAGCGGTTTCTTATAGTCACTTTATATAAATGATTTAACCCTCATTATGGATGGGCTATGTATACTGAATACGTGACACTCCGTCACTTATGACAACTGGGAACTCTCGTCCGGTGCTACAATATAACAAGCCCTTTTCAAAGACGTCATGTTTTTTCGCGTGGTTCCTCTTTTGAAAAGGACTTTTGGTTATCTTTTCATGTCAGACAATCACGAAACCTAATCCAATCCCTATCCCTTGACATGAAAATGTAACCGGACTTGGTTATCGGACTTTTCCAGCCTGCTTACGGCAGTGATAAATATACCGCGATATGCCAGCATGCATTCATGTTCTGTATTAGCCTGCGTGGCAGGCCTATTGAATATAGGTCTGCAACAATCTCAAGGAAATTTGGTATTTCGGGGCCGTGAGCGGACTCAAAAATCCTATTGGTTGAAATCATAATGTATGCCAAAATACGCATCAATCACTGTGTATATTAGCGTATATTTTTGAAAGAGTGCTGTGAATTTGGGTTTTAAACTAAAAACTGAACAGCTGCAAATCGTTGAGATGTTTTGGCAGGTTTTCTCATTGGATATCTGCCTTGACAAGTCGAAGAGCATGGATACAAACCCATGCACGTGGCTAAGATGAGCGAGCGCGCGGGGGTGCTTGGGGAGCCACTGATCTATATAAAAACACTGTAGTGTTGCTATTTTTAGTACGTTATTTGCGCCTGGGTACGAGGCTGTTCGCTCATAGCTGGTCATAATATGTATAATTTTGAAATTTATTGTAAGGTTTGGACCTAAGATGGTATTTTCTTCCTTTTAATTTTTATATATTTTTGAGTTCCGTTCATTATTAATACATAAAAATATACGTCTGTTGAGTAACAACATCTAAACTGCAGTATCAAGTCAAAATGTTTTGTTCTAGTGAATTGTATCACATACTAATGTACCAAACCGGCATCGCCAGTGTAAATTCTGTTTTATTTACTCCAAAAGTAATTTAAACTGTCAATTTTTTTAAAGTTTGAATTCTCGAGCCACTCTATATATGAACTACAATAGTAATAAATTAAAGTATATTTATACTTATTACCCACACTGCATCACACACACGAATAGTGCTGTCCACAGTAGCTAAAAATAGATTCTCCAAATGAAGACCCCCCACAAGACTCAGACAAACAAACTATCATTTATTGAGGGAAGTCGTGCGACCACATTACTGAAATTAGCATTAATGTGTGCTTCGCTGTCGCCATTGTTATAAATAAGTGGTCTCACTTATCAGATTGTGTGTGCAATTCTTGTTGGCGGCGGAAAGTACGAAATTTATTTCAGTTATTTCATTTGGCAAAGAATTAGATACAAAAGAAGAGAGTGTTCAGAGCGTCCAGATCGTTTCCTTTCAAACGGCAATTACCGTATTCTGTTTCGCTCTCTCAGCGAAGCCTTGCAAATTGCAAAGTGTTTCGAATAGGCTTACATACAACTGCCTCTAAATCTTCACAGTGAAAAGCGCTGTTTTATTCAGTGCAAGAACAGAGTCAACACCAACCAAAAGGTAATTTTCTTGAGGAACATATAATGAAACTCAAGTATAATGAAAGTTAATGAAACTCAAGAGTCAAGTATAAAAGTTTACTATGGTTTACCCCAGTTGTAATGTTGCTATTCCAACACTTCACGACAAGCAATCCCCATTGGCATAACGGCAAAAACATCTCTTCCTTCAAGTAAACAATAAACAGTCTGTTCTTGTTCCATGTTTAATGGAAAAAAGTGATCAATTTTCGAATTTTAAGCTTATCAAGAGCCTTTGTGATGAATCACTGATCTAATTATAGAATCCAACAGCAAACAGCCAATCAGAACACTGCAGATGCATTTAACTTAAAAACATTTTTCCGATCCAGGTAAAGTCCTCAGGTTACGCCTTCGGAAACTTCTCGGCTCATCTTAGTTGAAAATAATTCAATGCTTTAAAAACACAGCTAATATTACATTTAGAGCTGTAAATTTTAAAATTTACAAAAGAAGTTGCCCTCGTTCATCTTAGGGGGGGGGGGGGGGGAA